AAAGTTATTTTCTAAAATACTCTTAATAACTGTACCTCGTGAGTGCATGCTAAAGATTTTTTGTTTGTTTCTCATAGACAAACACACAATCATAAATTTCTCTCACTCTAAGAATTATTGAACAATAAATCATTCTTTTTTTCACTAGTCTCATATGTCCTATAAGTGTCACTCCTGTAAACAAACAAACAAAAACTTGTGAATTTAACTGGTTTTACCCCACGGCTTCAATCAGGTAAGATATTTGTACCCTCACATTGGCTAATACCGAGCCAAACATATGCTCAAAACTGTGCCAAAATTTCCTAAGTTTATTCTGCAGTAGTTCCCATATGGCAAGCTAATTCTGATCAAAATACCAGAAATCCATAGTACAGTTAGTGGAGCAATCCTCGAAAGATTATATCAAGGTGTGATGGCATCTGTTTTAGAGCTTATCTGAAATTTGTACCAAAAACCTAGATGATTAGAATGTGATCTTTTAACCAAGCATAATTCTCCTGTTATTTTTATATAGCTTTTCAATAAAAATAAACTTAACTTTTGTAGTCACTTATGCTATTAGCATTAATTTATCATCTTTCAGCAAATGTTCATTTAATTTCAAAATTGTTTTATAGATTACAAGAAATATTCATATTTACTTATTCTATAGTAGTTTTTGGGGGAAGGATCCCAATTTTAATGCTTTTCTAGTCCTGGACTTTGAAACCAGGTAACTTTCTAATTCATCTAATTTAACATCAGTTTGGGTGAATTTTATCGTAAAACACCATTCAACTCAAGTACCTATTTTGTCATCTCTAACCAGAATCTGTAAATAAATAAAGCATAAGAGTTTAAAAACTGCAGATTCTGTCAAAATGCTTCTCTGTGCTTAATTGTGATTTAATTATGATGCTGATATTTTAAGGTCAAAAAGTCCAGAGTAGTGACTTACCAAAATTAGATGCATATTCCCCAATGAATCGCTTGGTAAGAAATCTTACTGTAAGGGCTGCAAAATAAACAAGCTGGATTAAGGGTCTTTTCTATTTTAGAATATAGATAACATAGTTATGTACAACGAGATGTTTTATTTTTCAGATCAAAAATCACCGTGCATTAATGAAGACCTTAAAGACTTACTAAATTCTGATCTAAATAATCG